GTTATGCACAAAGCTACACAAGGGCTATCTGTGATCTGCCCACCACGGGTATCGAAACCCGATTTCTAGCGTTGTGAGTCCGTAGACATACCGCTGTGCCACTTGGGGGCCCATTTAAAAGTTTAGAGCTATTTAGTTTTCAATTAACTTTAAATTGGTGCCATCAATCCGATATAGACCAGAACTAAGCAGCATTTCAAATAAATTATGGTAATATTGCATAGTACATTGTACATGAAATACACCAGAATTTGAAAGAATTGGCACAAACTTTAAGAACTCTTAGATTTCTATCTTTTACAACAGAAAATCATTCGACTAAGATTATTAACTCAAAATGGTTATATAGCTCTTACTAAGTACTGAAGTACATGTATAAATTATTAACTCACTCAAAATGGTTATATAGTTCTTACTAAGTACTGAAGTACATATATAAACTAATCTAAGTCAGGCATTAAATATCCAATTTTAAATTAATTTCCTATTTTATTTTATGAAAGCAATTCATGTCCCATTAATAGCATAGAAGCGTGTATTACAAAGAAAAAGTTAATTTGGGGTGTTGTCAGGGGTAGGTGAACATCCACCCCAATGTTCTAAAAAAAAAAGTCGTTTACAACTCAGCAAGTTATTGCTTTTTGTTTTCTTAAGTTTTGAATATTGTCGTTTTACAAGCTTCATTTAGGTTAGGGTAAATTACTTAAATTCTCCGCGTAGAAGAAAAGGTCAGCATGCTTTTGGGACTCCCCCTCACTCTGTATTGCTGACTACGCCCCTAATATATTGAAGAGGCGTTTTTGGTTAGGCAGAATCCAGTAATTTTTATTTTGAATAATCATTATCACTTAACGGGCATGTATTTAATATAACTTTGGAATATCTGGTTTCTACTGTTTTATGTATAGAAACTTGATTGTTGTTGACGTAATAATGGTTGAAGTTTCCATGCAGTAGTCTTATCCTAAAGGTCGTCTGCCAATATCACTAAAGCAACTGTTATTAATGTTCCAGTTTTTTACAGACGTCCGAAAACAGGATAAACGTATCTCTGTATTCTAAACACTATAGCTTTCACACTGTCTCAAAAAACAACAACAACATTTCACTCACTTGTTCCTGTACAAGTGAGAAAACAAACGGTTTATTATATATATAAAGCTTTCGGACTCTAACTGGATATAGCTTCTATTATATCTTCTCGATTGCAATACATGTTTATTTCATATCTCTTGCTTACAAAACATGATGACCTGATATATTCTCGGTTACAAAACATATTTGCTTGATATATTCTTGTTTACAAAACGTATTTATTCGATATCTTTGTGAAATGTGGGCATATTGTGTTTTTACATCATCTGCATTTACATAGGAAGTTTTAACATTTTTCATTTGGTCTGGTTATACAGAGTTTTAGGATGAACACGTGGCCCATAAAATGATTAAAACCGTCTCATTCTAGTTGCCTTTGTGTCTTTGGTGTTCTTGATAGCAGATGGTATCTATTCTGCCCGTAGGGATGTTGCATCAACTTTGTTAATTAGTTTTAAGTAAGGGTTAACGACTGCAACGTTCTTCGCTGGCCGAGTGCATGATGCATTTATATTCCAGCCAACGAAACTTTGAGAGATTGATTAGTCATGTGGTTATGCTATTGCAAAGAAAGTGACAAATGTTTCCTGTATTATCATGGAGCCTCAGCACTTTTAGAGTTCTATTTGGCTGTCATCGTGACTGGTTCTGCAAAGATTCATCTCGAGAGAGGAAAAGCTATTTACAGATCCAGTAGGGGCAATTGTCTAAGTGTCTACGTGGGTGTGCATATGGTTTTTGTTGTTGTGCCATTAATAAGCATTGTTTCCACTTTCCACCACATGTGTCTAGTCTCCTTATTTTTCACACAGCTCAAAACTCAATTAGTTTTCAAATTCACATTACTTTACACATTTCTTGTTCGATCCTCCCGTTATTAACTGGTCCTATCTAATACTTGCGCAGAAATCAGCTCCCATCTTCTCAGTTATAAGACATGCTTACTTGATTTGTTCTTCGTTACAAGACATGTTTACTTGATTTATTCTTGGTTTCAAGACATGTTTACTTGATTTATTTTTGGTTACAAGACATGTTTACCAGATATATTTTCGGAATATGATTACATGACATATTATCTGTTACTTGACATGACATGTTTACTGAGATGCAAAGTATGTTCGTTTGTTATATTTTAATAAATAAGGTATGTGTACTTGATATCCTATTAGGACACGACATACGTTGTGTGCTATTTTTCAAGATTGTAACATATGTTTGTTTCTTGTGTTTCCAGAATACGACATATGTTTATTTATTATTTTTCCACTATGTGATATATGGCTATATGTTGTTTTCAACCCGGGATATCACAAATACTTATCTGACACACACACTCCTTCCCAGAATGCACCTTTTTCAACCCGGGATATCATAAATACTTATCTGACACACACACACTCCTTCCCAGAATGCACCTTTTTCAACCCAGGATATCACAAATACTTATCTGACACACACTCCTTCCCAGAATGCAACTTATGTTAATCTATATTATTTATTACTGATTGAACATGGGAACTGTTTGTTAGCTATTACTGTCTATTAAGTTTTAGTTTTGTTAACTATTTCTATTGCCCCTTACAACTTTTGAATAATAATAGAGATAAATGCTGTTTGCTACCTGTTGTGTGTGTTTGTTTCGGTTAACTTTGCTTGTTAATCGTTACAAGTGATTTTTGAGTGCATAATTTACGCTCTATTAATAATCATCCTTCGTATATATATTTTTTTCTCTGAAATAAAATTAGAACAGAAACTCATACAGCTAGATGGTAGGAAAAGTTCTGTGATCTCGACAAGTGAAGTTGTCATGGAGACCACAAGTCAGGAGCGTCATGACAGAAAGTCTAATAAATCTTCCGGTCTTTCAGCTTTGATGGCTGCCTGTCAACAGGATGATGAGGCTGCAGTTAGAATAATTATACAGGAAAAGGTGTGTTAGATGCTTCTTATGTTATAAGTTTCAATGTATGTTCTCTTTGTACACGCCTGTAACTAAATTGTATTATTTCTGAACTTTTCTTTTTAATTTCAAACCGGAGATGGAAGGATTTTATTCCAACGATTTACTAGGACTATCATCAGATTTCGTACACTCTTCTGATAATATCAGTTCATTCTTCATAGAATAATAAGTCAATCTGTTATTATTTTTTCATCAAAAATAAACGTCAACACTCATAAGTAGTTGGAAACAGTTTACAAAAAACATCAATTAACGATTGAAAAACTTTTAGAAAGTATGATGCATTACAGTTATTAGGTATCAAGTGTGTTCAACCTGAATGAATTAAACGGCCAGGTCAGAGACTTACAAGGCTCGGGCTGTTCCAAATTCAAAACTGCTGACCAAATGGATGGTTACCTGTCAACAGCACCTGCCACCTACACGGCTTTTCAAAAAATGAATAGCAGGATTGTGTGTGTGTGTGTGTGTGTTATAAAATGTCTAGAGCTGAAAATGTGAAGCATGTTCTGCTACACATCGCGGACTCTAACCTTGGATCTCCGTCCGCAATGCCTCCCAATGGCACAACGGTATGTCTGCGGACTTACAACGCTAGAAAGCGGGTTTCGATACCCGTGGTGGGCAGAGCACAGATAGCCAACTGTGTAGCTTTGTGCTTAACTTTAAACAAACAAATCGTTCGCAGCTCAGCACGCTAATCGCTTGGTCACACCCGGCCGTTCAATTATCGGTGTTATGTATTGGTTTATGAAGAATTGCCCCCCAGTGGCACAGCGGTATGTCTGCGGACTTACAACGCTAAAAACCGGGTTTCGATACCCGTGGTGGGCAGAGCACAGATAGCCCATTGTGTAGCTTTGTGCTTAACAAGAAACAAACAAGAAACAATTATGAAGAATTATTTTATAGAAAGGTAGAAGAGTTATTTTATTGAGTCAAACTTTAAGTAATATGAAGAATTATTGTTCTTAAAATTTTAATATAGGCTATTTTCTCTCCGACTGAATACTAAATTTGTATTAAAATGAAATTTTATGAAAATGTTTATTGAAAAAAAAATGAGTTCAAGAAAGCGCTACCAGCTAGAAAACTAAAGCTGACCAGACATGTTTTAGTATGCTCCTCTTCTAACGTTTTGAATGACGATTAATCCTCAACTCTTATTTTGGTAGCGACATTTGGTGACTACTCGAGATAAAAGTGGGAAAACAGCTCTTCATTACTGTACAGGAAACAAAGACATAACCTGTGCTGACTTCGTATTAAAGACAGAACCAAGCCTGATAAATAAACAAGACGAAGAAGGCTACACAGCTCTTCACCTAGCGGTGATAAGTGGAAATATATTAATGACAAAGTATCTCATTGACAAAGGTGCTGATGTTAATAGTGTAGACAACGAACTGCACTCTTGTGTCCATTGGGCAACGGGTATGTTTATGCTATAATTTGTAATTTAGTGTCTGCAAATAAAAATATGTAAATAAAAACTTCATGAAAGATTATTTTTAAGAAGTTTCATTTATATTTTGCTACTTCGTTAAACCATCAAATGTCCTCCACTCCAACACTGAGATGTGGGAGCGATATATTTTTTCATACACGTTAGATTTTAAAATCACATTCATGGTAAATTAAATACTTATTTTTATTTTTATCTTTATAAGTTTCACTATTTCATCAACTTCTAATATTTAACTTTTATGCTCTTATACCAAATATTTTCAAACTTCTTAACTCAGTAGTTCATCGTCTGTTTGATCTTCATTTCTTTAATCTGTAATGTTCTAAAAATAGAGTTAAAAGTAGCTATTTTTTTATTTTTCATTTGTCATATGAAGTGTTTCCCATTCTTCCAGTTATCTGTTTTCTCCCTTTTAAATCAGTGTGTGGTGAGCTCGATTGTTCAGACATCTTAATAAATGCTGGTGGTAACCCTAATACACCCGACGTCCACGGGGCTTATCCGATCCACTACGCTTCTCAGATGTGTGGGCCTGACAGTGACATGGGTAATAATGTGACGCTAGGCCTTTCTGTCCTGCACAAGCTTTTGGACAGAGGTGTGGCCGTTGATGTGCAAGACAAAGATGGCCGTCAACCGTTACTGTGGGCAGCGAGTGCAGGTAAAGAAAAAGAAACAACAAGAAAAGAAAAATAAGTTTTTCTTCTGATATAATATTTATTACATAACACAATGGAATAATACTACCAATCTAGTCTTTTATGTTAACTTTATTGTTAACTTTGTAGTTCGAATTAACATGAAAAATATAGTTCATGGAAGAAGATAGCATTGCCTTCTCATTAGTACTTAATAAGTTGTAATTAATACAAGAATTTAATTGTATTTTGAAATATAAATAACCATCACGCTCAATGATGGCTCAGCGCTGTGAGAACTTTTAACGCTAAAAATCAGGTTTCGTTACAAAAACAAACAAACAATGAACCTGCGATATCATTAGAATAGCATTAAACATTCATGTTTTACTGGAACCATGGTAACCATTGCAACTTTATAAAACATTATATTCAATTTTATTTTATCTGGTTGATTGCATCCAAAACGCCATTGGGAGAACTTTTGTTTCAAACGTTCGCGCGAACCTTCACTCGGGCTCTTTGCCGTCCCTAATTCTGAAATGGTTTGGTTTATTTTCTTTCGAATTTTGCTTAAAGCTACACGAGGGCTATCTGCACCAGCCGTCCCTAATTTACCAGTGAAAGATTAGAGGGAAGGCAGCTAGTCATCACCACCCACCGCCAACTCTTGGGCTACTCTTTTACCAACGAATAGTGGAATCGACCGAAACATTATAACGCCCCCACGGCTGAAAAGGCGAGCATGTTTTTTTTTAGACGGGCATTCGTACCCGCGACCCTCAGATTGCGAGTCAAACGCCCTAGCCACTTGGCCATGCCGGGTCAATTTTGAACTGATAGACTAGAGGAAAGGCAGTTAGTCAATAGATCTGCAGTCGACTCTTGGGCTACTCTTGTCTGGCGGAATAGTTGGATATGACTTTGACTCTTTCGTCGTATCCACGGAGCCAAAAGTATAGAGCATATTTTACCAGCAACGGATCCACAGACCTGGCACACTAACCACTTGGCCACGCTCGACCCAAGGAAAGTACTTGAATATATTATCTACCTAAAAAGTTTAGTTCACTCAAAACATCGTTGGGAAACATTATTTTAAGGAATTAAGTAAGAAGTAAAACAACATAAGTTAATTTTGAGTTCTGATTTATGTAGCAAGCTTACATTTAATCAGGATTAATTAATAATCGTATTAGGTTTTTATTTACCTCGTATATTGTATTCAAAATATCATTATGAAAATATCCAATCTTGATTTTAAATTTGGAAATATTTGCTACCATTACACTCAAAACGAGCCACACCAATACACCTGCTGGAATTACTCTATTATAGAACTAAATAAACAACATTTGTTTCTCTGTTTTAACGCAAAGCTGCACAATTGGCTATCTAAACTCTATTCACCACGGGGAATCGAACCCTGAACTTTAGCGTTATAACTTCTTATACTAAATAAATAAAAATCTAAAATTTTGATTATAAAATAAAAATTCACTGACATTGTACTTTTTCTGTTGGAGTTGTATATAAAGTGCTGACCTTGTAACGCCCTACTTCTAGCCAGTTTTAAGAGTCACTATTATAAAACCTCAATTACAATTACCTTGGTTTCTTATAAATGTATACTTTTGTTGGTTTACTAGGAAACCCTATACATACTACAGAATCAAGTTAAATTGCATGCTTGCGCCGCCCATCGATTTAACGCAACTGCATGTTATGAGCTTCTTATAAACTGTGGCTTTAATAATTTAAGTACAAGAAAGTTTCTCATAATAATTTTACATTCTGTGCACGCTGTGGTTTGAGTGTATGTTTTAGTTATGCTGACGTTTTAATAAGAATTGAGCGTTTCGCTGCTCTCTCAGTAGTTACCTTTTAGTAAAGGCCATAAGTTCAGTAGTTGCGCTAGTTTGTTTGTTTGTTTTGAACTTCGCGCAAAGTTACACGAGGGCTATCTGTGCTAGCCGTACCTAATTTAGCAGTGTAAGACTAGAGGGAAGGCAGCTAGTCATCACCACTCACCGCCAACTTTTGGGCTACTCTTTGAGCATTTTGCATGTGCTACCCTCCCTGGAAGATAATATCCTCATATATTATTCATATTTAATCATTTTATGATAGGCTGACATTTGGTTATTGTTTTCTTTGAATTATGCGACATTGTTACCTGCTGGCGTTGGACAGAGGTCTTCTGATCGAAATACTGACAGTTAGGACTGATCAAATGTTGAAAACCAGAAATACTTATGGAAAATGGCAGCCATTTTTTGGTATACCCAGACTTGTGGTAGAAAGGTCGAGGACATTTTGTACTCAACTTAAAAGTCAGTCTGGTAAAAATCGTGGAAGATCAACTATAATACATATTGACTACTATCTGCAAAACAGTGATATTATAATTCGCCAATCCACTGTTCATAGACTCAATATAGATTTTTAGGGCAGAATATTAAGTAATTTTCTGATCCAACTGGTGTAGTACACACTTCATGGGTTTGTCATAAGGTCGAGAAGTCGTGTTACACACCGGCATTTGGCGATATAGCTTGTTTGGAATTTTACAAAAATCACAGAATTAACAGCATTTATGAGTCAGATTAGATTTTATCTTCATTACAATATCTCTGAATACAAAAGTCTCGATAGCAGCTTGAGACCTCATTGTTCTTCCAAAAGGCAGATGTATTGGTTAATTATATATCGATGTGCTATTATAACTACATATAACTCTTATGCACTAGTGCAGATGGCAAAATTTTCCATTGAATACTGCTCGGATAGCTTACTGTCATATCTCAAAACAAAACATAGAAGCTACTGACTAACCATCGGGACGGCAGTCTTGATCAAATATTCTTAGAAATAGTGCTTGAATTATAAGTACTTAATAAGTATAATTCTATATATATTTCCTGGCTTTAATTTCTTCATTGGCCAGTCACTCAATTTTTAGATCAAAATTAAGATCTAACGATATCTTTACATAAAGCAACCATTAAAAGCAAACCAAAAACCAACTTCACTAATTACTGGTGTAGATAATATTCGACACAGGATCATTGCGACCGTGGCTGTATACATGTGTCTTCATTAAGGTTAAGTCAGTCAGTGAAATCTTATTCTCGAAACGCTTCCCCCATGTACATTGTGTAGTTAACAAGGAGAGATTAAATTGTGTATTATAATAATTGGAGCGCGATGTTCTCATCCGTTTCCCCTCAATTCGAGCATTCCTTAGAACACCTTTGGAAATATCCGTATTCCATATACATAGAACATTAACCCATCATACAATGTCAGAAAACCGTTATGTTCTAACTGAGAAAAGAGACAAGGTCCCACATAACGAATGGACACAGGGAAGAATTAACTCTCGCTTCTGGGTGTATTTTTTCAGCCAATTACAGCTCTTTTAAGATAAATTGATTCAGCCAGACTCTAACTCTGGCCACTTTTAGTTTGAGATTACGGACAGCAACTAATATGTATTTTCAATCCAACCAATTCCTGAACCATGTTCATTAAAGTTCTGTTCTTCTTTTCTCTACTCTTGCTCCCAGGAGCGGAAGAAAAGTGTCACTGGCAAGATTATGCTCTTATCTGTTAGTTTTTTGTTGTTGTTTTTAAAAAAAAGAGACAGGGCTTAGTAAAAATGAATTATTCCTCAGGAAGCAGTGACGCCATTGTTGCCTTGGTGAATGCTGATGCTTCCGTGATGGCTGAAGACAAGGACGGCTTGACAGGTAAGAAACAGAAATATGATTATAATTTATTTAAGGAGACAGTGAAATAAACTAAATACAGTTTAATTTATGAATAAGAACTTTTGAATAAAAGTAAAGGAGAGTGTATATTAATTTATCAACCACACCAAATCTGCTATGTACGGTGGCAAGAAGGTTTTTCGTCCAGTACCAAGGACCTCCAGGCCGGATGGAAGACAACAGTCGTAATAGTGGTTGAGACGTTATTTATATGAGCAAACTGCTTGATAACAATTTTTATGGTGCGAACTCACCTATTTTATCTGTTTCGTATCATAAAATAATCAGAGTAAGTATTTTTTAACACTATATTACTTATTTATTTTAATGACATTTGTTATTAATTAGTACTTTCTCTTCATTCAAAAGAGCTGATCCTGGATAGATGTATATTGTATGATAGATGATATAAACGTTGTTTGAAACTGTAGATTTCAGCTGTCAGGTTATTGGTTTTTGTTACTTAATGTGAGTGTTTTTTATTTTCATATTACGATTCACCCAAATTATTAGGGGTAAGGGTAAAAAAATTCAATACTTTTTTCAGGATAAAACATTCTATAAAGATGTATATGAACGTGTACGTACATAAATTACACCAACCGTTTCCCATACCTAGACATTCTAAATTTTTACTGATACCATTTTTCACAGATTTACTTGACTGATGAAATCTGAAATTGTTCTCGATGTAGGAACATACGTTTTCTTATTACAAATCATAATATAGAAACATGAATGAAACCAGGGTGCTAAGTAATGAAAAGTCGTAAAGTTGTATGTATATACAGAACTGTATATTAAAGACTTGGGGGACTCGAGGCAAATTTTACAGCGAGCCCTCGGAACTAAATATCTTAAATAAATCAAATACAGTTCAATACTATTAATTGACTACAGTAAAAGGACATGTGAAATGTCGAAACTATTAAGTCGTCAAGAAATTAATGTCGCGTTTTGGAACACTTTCATTAACCCCC